AGTATTTGAACAAGAAACTTGGAAAAACTCTAAGAACACTGTACTACTTCTTCAATAACGGAAGAGGTGCTGAGTTTTATAATTATTTGATCATTACTGTGGTTGATCTATATTAACTTCTTAAACTCTGCTTGTCTTTGGTATGGAAATCTGTGAGTGTGGCTGCCCACCAATTTCAAATGCAGAAGTCATGCCTCAAGAAATACTAAATAATTGTGTCAAATACCTGGCAGAAATAATCTGTCCTAGATAATTTTATTATCTCGACACTTCAGATCATCATATCTTAATCTCAGCTATTGATTTAGATATATTATACTTCAAATTCAACTGAAAGTATCAAATATTTAGAAGGATGCTACAAAGATTGATGCATCTCAAATTTACATTTTAGCTGCTTTTTACTACCAAATATCCTCAGTACGTCACTGCAAGTGTAGCTGAAATCTGTGCTCTTATAAGGTGAGGATATATTTTATTCCAATATTATCTAGAAACACTATAATTTGGAGACCCAAATGATCTACTGAGCAATTACTGACTATACAGACAGAGCAGTCTGCTCATTTAGTGAAAGCTTACTTCCTTTATCCAGCTTCTGAAAAGCATTAAAGCTCATTTAAATCTGTATGGAATTCTTTCATGAAGCTCCTAAGGTACATGGTCATTTGGAAGAGCACTCCATTCATGAGACAATATCTGAAGTTTTGTTCTATACCATGTTTGAGAATCCTGCTGTATAAGGAGAGTATGGATCATTGTGACCCTTATTCAAATGTAGAATTCTCCTTAAAGTAACACTTGTGATGAAGTGGGAAGCAGGAAAGGCTTGCTTTAAACTTTTAGCGTTGATGCTGAAGTGAAAATCAACATCAACATTTTAGCTGAAAGCCATTCAGATGGCAAGAGATTTTAAAGATTGGCCAATATAGCCCAGTCTCTACAACATTGTACTAAGAAAAATCAAGAGTAGAAAAAAGAGTAGTAAAGTAGAAAAATCAAGTAGTCTTTATTCCAAAGACTACTTCTCCGAATAAGCTGCATTCTTTGCAGAAACCAAATCAGGAGACAAATACCCATTTCCTGAGTTAGATAAGAAATGGAAAAGAGTATAATTGACTGTCACAGGGGCCTCTTTACAAAATAGGTTGGATAAGTTAATGAAAATAATTGGTCATGAGTGTGTGTGCTTGGTGAATGGAAGTGCAAAATTAAGCATGTTTAAAAGATATGATCAGGTGGCTATACTGGAGGGCAATAATGGAGAATTGAACAGAATAAAAAGAGGAAAGTGGGAAAGAAAAAATAGAAATGGCATTTACTTGCTGATTCTTACAGCAAACCCAAGAGCAGTGCAGAGATGCAAAATTGATGGTATATACAGAAAAGGAAAATTAGTAAAGAATAAATAAGTCTGGATACACATACAAGCTAGCTGTTTGCATTTACAGATGGATACCATGTCTCCGGTATATAGTTGCTTCATATCCCACTGGTTTGCAGTCTAAAATACTCAATGCCTTATACAGGCCGTATGTCAGCAGAAGACTCTTCTCTTTGAAGTACATTAGAAACACTAGAGTGTGGAAGTGGGTCTGGCTGCATCATCTGTTAGTCAGGTGCTTAAAGAATGCATTCATTACTGACTTGAACTTAGCAACACTCTAGCAAATGGGTTTTACAAATGTTATAGTTTAATTATAATAGCTTTGACAAATTCCTTAGAGGAAGACCACCTCCCACCATGTGTTGTGCCTTTCTGAAGTTCATGAGTAAAGCTTCCTCTTCAAATTTCAAGTTCTAATTTCCTGTTTCACTAGCTACTTCACATTTTCACAGGAATACAAATGGATGTGGTATTCAAGTCAAGAGGATGCAACAGTTATGAATAAAATAAGTCAACAGTAAAGGAAAATTAAAGAAAATGTGGATCAGCTGCTGAATGAGATGATGCCTTGGTAACAGCAGACACTGGGGTGGTAGAGTTACTGAATGTCATCTTTTCTTTAGTTTTTACTGTTAAGAATTCCAGACCCTGGAATTTATTTAGAGAGTCTGGAGAAAGGAAGATTTGCCCTCAGTCAGAAATCTTCTAGTCAAACTTCACACGTATAAACCCATGAGCTCCAATGGGATGCATCCACAAGTGCTGAGGGAGCTGGCAGAAGTGGTTACTAAGCTGCTCTCTGTTGTCTTTGAAAGGTCATAGAGAATAGAATCCTGAGGACTAGGGGAGAGGCAATGTTACTTCAGTCTTCAAAAAAAGCAGGGAGGAGCTGGAAAATGATAGGCCAGTCAGCCTCACCTCCATTCCTGGAAATGTGATGTAGCAGCTTATTCTGGATTCCATCTCCAAGCAAGTGGAAGGAAAGAAAGTTATCAAGAATACTCAACATGTATTCACTAAGTGGAAATAGTGCCTGACCAATCTGGTAGCTTTTTACCAGGCTGAATAGATGAAGAGAAAGAAGTGGATGTAGTTCCTTAATTTCAGGAAGGCTAGGTAAGCGTAGAAAGTGTGAGACAGATGAGTGGGCAGTGAAGTGGATTGAGAACTAGCTGACTGGCAGAGCTGTGAGTTGTGATCAGCAGCATGGAGTCCAGTTGGAGGCCTGTAACAAGCTATGTTTCCCAGAGCTTGGTACTGGGTCTGGTCTTGTTCAACATCTCCATCAATGACATAGACAAAGGGATAGAGCGCACCCTCAGCATGTTTGCTGATAATACAAAGCTGGGAAGAGTTGCTGACACACCAGAAGGCCATGTTGTCTTTCAATGAGGCCAAGAGAGGCTGGAGAGTTGGGTAGAGAGGAACCTGATGAGGTTCAACAAGAGCAAGTGCAGAGTCCAACTCATGGGAAGGAATAGCTGCATGTATTCGTACAGGTTAGGGGCTCACCTGCTGGAGATGAGCTCTGAAGAGAAGGACTTGGGTGTCCTGGTGGATAAGAGGCTGACCGTGATCTAAGCAGTGTACCCTTGTGGCCAAGAAGACCATTGGAATCCTGGAGTGCATTAAAAAGAATATGGTGAGCAGGTCGAGGGAGATCCTCCTCCCCCTGTACTCTGCCCTAGTGAGGCCATATCTGAAGTATTGTGTCCGGTTCTGGGCTCCCCAGGTCAAGACAAATTGTAGCATCACAGAATATCTTGAGTTGGACAGGATGCATAAGGATCTTCAAGTCCAACTCCAAAAGTAAAACAGAGAACCTCTCCAGCAGAGGGCTATGAAGATGATTAAGGAGCTGGAATATCTCCCTTATGAGGAAAGAATGAGAGATCTGGGAGTGTTCAGCCTGGAGAAGAGGAAACTGAGTGGGGATTTAATCAATACTTGTAAATATATCATAGGTGGTAGTCAAATGGGTGGGGCTGTTCAATGGTGCTCAGTGGCAAAACAAGGGACAATAAGCACAAAGTGGAACACATGAAGTTATGTCTGAACACGAGAAAAAAATTCTTTACTTTGAGGGTGACAAAGCTCTGGAACAGGTTGTGCAGAGAGGTTATGGAGTCTCCTTCTCTGGAGATATTCAAAACCTGCCTGGACACTTTCCGGTGAGAAAGTGTAAGGAATCTGTTTGGGGTGAACAAAATCATTGTAAGAGATCCCTTCCAACACGTAAAATTCTGTGATTCCATGGAATATTTTGACTGAGTTATATTAAAAGATGAATGTTTTCATGGCTCATCAATAATCTTCTTCTTGTTTCTTTTACCTTTCTACATGTTCTGTCACAGTGAGTCATAAAATATATGTAGCTGACTAAGGGGTGGGGTCTTTTTTATTATTATTCATGTGGTTTCTTGGGAAAAATTTAATGAATAAAAGTTACAATTCTTAAACTGTTCTACTTTCTTCTGTGGAAGTATTGTAGCTGCATGCACTGCTCATTGTTTCCTGAGATAACAGCCTATTTTCTGTGATCTAGATCAAAATCTGCACTTGACTCAGGTTTATGGCAAAAATAAGCTTAAGAAAAATGGCACCAAACTACATAAACCATTAACAAGAAATCAAAATTTTACTGGGAGTATGATACAGCAAAACTTGATGGCATATGGTTTTGTGTTGTTTTTGTTTTGTTTTGTTCTGTTTTTTTTTTTTTTGCAATAATGAAGTTCTCCTTATGTGCTTATTTCTTTTGAGCAATTAGAGATTGCATGGGACAGCTGGTGGAATAAATCAGAAATTAAAGGCATCCTGTACATCTTTGGTTTGCTCTAACAGCGGAACAACTGACCGTGCAACTCTTTAGGTTTTCATTTACATTATTTTCTTTATAGTGAATTCTTTACAGTGGTTTTTCTTTTAAAACAAAATAATCTCTTACTTTTCTGGTTTTTACCCAGGGAAAGTAAATGAATGACTAAATAGGAATTATGTCTTAGCATTTAATGTATTTTCTGTTGTCATCCTCATCATATTGACAGAAGTGCAAAGGAAAAGCTTTAAATTACTTGCTTGAACGCACAAAGAATGTCCACAACAGGAGTAGAAGGCAACTACCTACATGTCCTATGTCTGCTAGTCAGCATGGTTCTGAAAGACAGAAATAAGAAGTAATGCAAGTATCTCCTCTGCAAGATGTCCCTTCATAATTTAAGTTTGGTAATCTCAGTGCCGGGGTAGTAGAAAACATAAGTAAATAGCATTGTGACGCTGCAAAGTAGGAAAAAAATGTACTAGGAGGTATCAGCAGATGTTTGGTTCATAAGATTTCATAAGATTTATGCATCTTACAGAACTGGAAAGACCACAACTGGAATATGGTATTCTGTGTTAGGCACTCTCTTCCAGATCATTTAAAGAGAGTCTGGAACATATTAAAAAAAAAAAAAAAAAAAAAAAAAAAAAAGTATGGATAATTTGGTTTGCAGGGTAAAAATATTTAGCTTAAGAGGGGGAGACTGATAGGGAAACATGAGATTAATCTTCAACTATGCTCATATCTAATGCACAGAAGAAATGATTGATCTGTTCCCTCTCTTCATGACAGGTATGAGCAAGACATAATGGATTTCATTTCCAGTAAGGATCCACAAAGTCAAAACATTAGGTAAGATTTTTTATAAGGAAAGAAAGTGAAGCACCACAACAGCTGGTTTAAGGGCCCTCGATCTGTGAAGGCATCTCATTACAGGGTAGATGACCCTCTCTGAATGCTGAGGAGTAGCCAGGGGACAGAGTAGCTTTTGGGGTCATTCTATCTCTACTCAATAGTCTTAGCACAAGACACTGAGCACCTAGGCCTTAACACCCAAATAGTGCAGGCCCCAGTACAGTGTAAAAACTTGGATTTCAAGATTTTAGAATCTCATAAAAGCATAAAATAGTTATGCTATCACATAATAATCCAATTGATTTTATTGTTACTTCAGAGCCTGCAGATAGCTTGAAACACACCACTGCCAAAGTGGGACCTGTGAACTTCGCCCTGAGTATAGAAATCCGCTGGAACTCAAAATCATGAGAGCATTATTTGAGGCAATCTTAGGGTCTTCCTTTTGTAAATAACATGAGTGAACTGGGTCTTTCTGGACCCGGATCGTTTTTGCTGCATGATTTCTTCAGTACTTAAGTAATATTTAGCAAATACAAGTTGGAATCAAGGGAAGGTAAATTAATGCTCTGCTAATGGAAAGCAACAAATGAACTAATGATGTATTCTCTTATTGACTCAATACTGATATGTGTCTACATAGCCATACCTTACTGAAGTAAGCCCATGGATAAACTTGTGCTTCTGTGAATTTGGTTTGGTACTATAACTTATTATTTACTGTCTTTGGGCTTCAGTGTAATCAGACTGATTTATGTCAGCTGATAACCTGACCCTTTATTTCTAACAGTTAACCACAATGAAAGAATTCATGTTCTTGGTTTAATCTGCTGGGATGCTGGTCCTTTGAAAAGAGGTTGTGTGCAATCAAAATTGCTGGCTACCATGAGCAATAAAAGTTGAGAGGGAGAAAAGTGCAGAAAATGCTATTGAGAAGCACACTAACTTTTCATTTAGATTTTCTGAACAACTTAAACATGCAGCTATTATCTGGCAAATTCTTTCTGTTCCGGGGGAAAAACTTACTCCATTTCACAAATAACTAGCCCGGTTTTCTGAAAACTAGGACGCTGTCTGGACTTTCTTTCTCTGCATAGGATTGTTATGTTTTCATTTCTTCAATGAAGTTTGGAGGGATTATCCAAAGGATAGTAGAAAGAAGTTGGTTCTGAGTAAATTTTTTTTAATGAGCATACCAAAACATTGCCAAGATACAATCTGTATTACATATATCTGACAAGATGCAGCTTACTACACTTTGAAACAAAAGCATGGAATAAACTAATTAGTATGAAATTAATATAGAACAAAATGGATGCATTTATCCATACTATCTAGTATTCTGACATCCCTATACTAAAGTTGCACGCTGGTTTATCTCCCTTCAGGACAGTAAGTCTTCTTTTTAGCATCTACTGTCTCTCTGAATTGAATCAAGATCAGCCTATTTCTAGGTAGTTTCAGGTGCATAAATAGTAGAAATACCTTGGAAACCTTGTTGGGAACCTTGAATTTCTCTAAACTATCCTAATTCTGGAGAGACGAAAGCCCAGGAAACTCTTTTACAGAAACATATGTCACACGACTGAGTGTGGATAAATGCATCTATATATATGACCCTGATGCTGGCCATTACACTCAGGCTTACTGTTATCTTTAGATGAAGAATCTGAGAATTTAGTTTGCAAGGAAGCAATGAAGAGGAAGCCTTCCCCTGTATCTCTAGTACATTTGTTTCTAGTATGTTCGTTTCTCATAGTTATAAAAACTGGATGGTATTTGGTATTTTAACATCAGTGTTGGGCAGAAGTTTGTAGAAGAGCAGCAAGCTGGATGTGGATGGCCTGGATTACAGCTCAGAGAGTGAGGAACAATGAGAAAGCATGACAACAGAAGCTTGAGCAGACAGTAGGAGCTTGACAGGATTGAACAAAAAGGTTTATAGAGGAGAAAGAAACACCTTTTTTGGGTCTCTAGATATAGCACGTTATGAAATGCATTTCAAAGTATCAGTGAGGTAATGTGCAAAGTATTTCCTGGAGCATTTAATCACACGTAGGATCAGATCATTACAACAGTACAAAGGTATTTCTTTTTGCCCTTAAACAAAACTTAGTATTATTCTTAGGTAATGAACTCAAGGAAGAAAAAAATATTTTGTGGAATAGCTTTGTGAAAAGACATATCAGTATGAAGTATGTCAGTGATCACTTCAAAACTGCATTTATTTCACAGTGAACTTTGTGTGTGTCTGCAAGGGGTATAAAATGGAAAGGCAAGGAAAGCAATTTATTAAAGCCAAGCTGAACCAAGCATAGATGCCTTGTCATCCATTCCAAAATGGGGAGTGTTGCCCTTCCACTCATGCAAAATGTCAGGTAGGACCATTCCAGTTAATTACATTACTGTGCTCACTCTGATCTTTCTAAAAATTTCTGAAACTTTGCTTCCTGTTCTCATTTCCTCTGCTAAAAAAATACTTGCAGAAATGCAGATGTAACTGCCAATTGGTCCTGCCTCTCCCACATCCCAATACTACAGCCATTTATCAATACAAATGTTATTGTGTGGGAACTGCAATTTTCTTAGACTTCTGGGGAACATCTGAAAAGTCAAGGCAATGGATTCTTAGGTATACTGGAGATGAGGCAGATCAGATGGGATCCTTCTCACTAACTTCAGATGTTTGTATTGTACAGTGCACAGGTGTAGAACAAGAATGGTAGACTAGCTTAGGTTTAAATGCCTTGTGCTGAGAACACCGCCATACTGGCTTTGTGTCTGAAAATGAAGTAATGGATTACTGGTACTTATTACTGAGCTATTTTCCATGGGATGTACAGCTGAATGGACAAGATCTGAAGGAGGAAGAGAGCAATGACAAATACCTGACCATTTTTCAGGAGTCAGGGAGAAGGAAGGTGAGGAGTTAATTGGATTCTTTGAGTTAGGAAATTAGGCAGAAGGCCGCAGCAAAGCTTCTGTCCACCTATCTTCACAGGATTGCCTGTGGGATCCCACATTGAGAATGATAGACCATCACTTGTGTGGAGTGGGGTCAGGGCTGTGTATGTATAAAAGCATCACTTGTTATGAAGTTGGAGCAGTGGAGCATGTGTGGCTACCTACGTGAACATGAGATGTGCTGTGATGGCTGCCAGAATGGTGTGAGCAGGCAGGTTTCCATAAAGAAGCGCTCCATCATATTTCTTCCTGCCCTTCTCTGTACCTCTTTGCCATGATATAGCAGCTGTAAATAATTCCTTCTGTGGCTTTCAGTAACCTAAGGAGCTCTTCTCAGAGAGGCAGCCATTATCTAGACCCAAACAATCATGTGGCATTGTTAGCGATACTGCAAAGATATGAAGAGCTGTGGCCCAAGAATCCTTCATTTCAGTTCTTCAGGACAGCTGTGTTTTGTTGTGTTTTTTTTTTTTTTTCCCCAGTTTTCTCTCACAAGGCTGTGCAGGTATAGAAACTGATATGTGTGGCTGTAGTATTTCAGACTTAACATTTCCTATTTTCCACATATTTGTCTGAGTGGATGAACTGTTACACTCCAATCTTCCTAGTTCTTATTTCATCTTTGGGTTATGTATTTGTACTTTTGTATACATATTTTTGAATATAAAAATCGTTGAAGCTCTTTACACTTTTGAAAAAATGTATCATATTCACAGATTATAATATTTTCTTATTAGGTCTTCTGTACAGGACAGTTTTATGTCAGCTTATACTTTGTTTTCCTCCTGGTTCAATGGAGAAATTTTTAGAAACAGAGTAAGAAGAAAACATTCTTACGAAAACAATAACAGAGAACTTTCCTTGGTATTCTGAAAAAATATCCTTGAAATAATCACATCTTGCATAAGCTGGCCTTGAAATACGCATGAAAATTATACAAGGTACAAGAAAAAACATATTTCTAGCTATTGGTTTCTTTAATTTAACAAACTGGTGTTTATCTAGCAAGTAGAATAAGTATCTAACAAGAGCTAGACATGTCCCTAGTAACTGTCATTTTGGAGAGGGTTGACTGCTTGTATCTTTGTAAACCCGACTGAACTCATGCCTTCCAGCCACCAGAGAGCTTTCTCATGCTTTCTCAGATGTTATGTAATATATAACATGCACTTAAAATACCAGGTGGAGACATCGCTTAGCAAGCACTAACCTAGTTGTGAAAGAGCAGTGGCTTTACTTACTTCATCTGAGTATAATCCCTCATTTACTGTGGTGATGTTTAAACCATTCTGTTGAATACTCAGTCGCCTAATAAAAGTCACTGTCAGTCAGGGTAGTGTCTGACCTTCCCCCAGAATAATGAGGATAATATCCATGTCTTAGTTGTGAACTCAAAACAAGATTTACAAAAAGATTACCCTGCATATTTAGGACAGGTTCTTCCCAGAAGAGCTGGAACATCAATAACGAGAGTACAGGACGTTTCTTACTCATTCAAAGTCATATAGCTGTATTAACCTCAAAATGCCATCCTTGTTGTTATTAACTGGTAGCTTATGAACGTAGCAGGGACAGGCCATTGATAAAATAAATACGTTTCTACTAAGGAGGCCTTCTCTAGGAATGAGTCTGCACCAAAAAACAGCTTTCCAAGTTACACCAGTACAAGAACCAGTATCAACAATTCTTTGTGCAGCTGTTCTCCAAGATCAGACATTAGAAAGCATATTTCTGTTTTCTAACCTTGTGGTTAGTTTGAAAAGGCCTACATTGACAGGATGTATGTGAATTCAGTCCTTTTTTGTTTAACTGGTCAGATTTTCTCACCTGTTTAGTTCCACGAACAGGACTTATGCTGGTATTATAGATGTCTCACAATGATTTTTTTCTCAGCTTCACCTGCTCTAGCTAGTGATTAGTCCTTCTCTTTGGCCAAGTGTTGCTGATTAGGGTGGGTTAGCTAACCAACTACAGCTGTCCACCTGAGCTTTGGGAGAAGCTGTCCCTAGGAATCTTCCTCCAGTGATGTGTGCTTTGTGCCCTGGTGTGACTGCAAGTGGATCACTCATTGTTCTGTAATGAGACTTGACTGTGGCAGCCTGCCATTCTGTGGCTGGGTCAGGCCTTGGCAAAGGTAAAGTACCAAATATATCTCTGGTGCCCTTTTGTTGGTAACAAGTGTGGCATGCAGCATTGCTTCCGTTTGGCTGGCTGGTCTCAGTAGGAGTATTGCTAATGTGTGGGGAGGAAGAGGTGGATCAACATGAGCTTTGTTTGCTGCTGTTCCTATCAGTACTTAGCAGGTGAGTTTCTGTAATGTTTGTGGGCCAGCAGGAGGACATGGAACATGGAGTATGGCTGTGGAACACTTAATATCAAGGAAATCCCCACAAATATGGAAGCAATTATTTTCACTGTAGTTGAGAGCTGAATGACTGTGTGGCCACTGCTGCAGCCTAGCATTAAATATGCAGTAATTGCTGAACTGCAACTTACTGTGAATGATATATCTCCCCGTTACCTTTTTTGTGTAGACATAAAGGAAAGAAAAAAAAAGAGAAAAAAAGGAGAGAGGGGGAAAAAAAAAATGCTGAGCAGAGTATAAAGTCTGCTTGAGTGCTTTCAAAAGGGTGGACTTCAAAGATTTTTCAGTTTAAATGTTAGATTTTTTTTCTCTTACACTTCAATCAAGAAAAATGACATTAGGTTGTGGCATATGTAGGCAATCTCAAGTTTCTTTGTAGGTGTCTTGAGATAGGCTGTACAATGTGGTATGAAAGTTTACCATGATTAGTTGTAAGTTATGGTCCTCTGTGTGTAATTGTATTCCATCAGACAAGGAAAAGTGAATATTAAAAAATATGTATGTCTTTTGTTTTTATTTAAATGATTTCTTTGCAGACAGAGTCATCTCTTAGATAATTAAAATGACATTAATTTTAACTTACAGTCTGTTTATGGGAAATAAATATAATTTTTAAAGTTATGCACCATTATGCTACAGCTGTACATAGTGTTGTTTATTCTGAATGAGGAGATACAATTGTGGCAGAAGAGAAAAAAACAAAGAAGGGAGATTATATGAGTTTTCAGATAAATTTTCTGGTTTTGTTTCCTTTTTGTAGCAAGTTCAACATCATGATGGTCAGGTCATAAACGGGCTGCTCAGGAAGGTGGTTGAGTAGCTGTTCTTGGGGGTGTTCAAGAAACACTGAAATGTGGTACTAAGGAACATGGTTTAGTGGGGAAATATTGGTGGTAGGTGGATGGTTGGACTGGATGATCTTGGAGGTCTTTTCTGACCTTGGTGATTCTACAATTATACCAGTATGTGATAAAACTCACTAAAATTCAGAAAGCTTGTGTCACTGTTTTTAGGCATCTTTCTGAAATGCTTCACTCTTGCTGAGTTTAAATTTCTCTTGCTAAAAATAACACTTAAAATTGAGAATGGGGAGCAATTCTATATATTTTTTTCTCATTGCAGCATTTTGTACATTGTCAATTCCAGTGATTTGCTTACTTATGTTTTCTTTGTTGTTTTTGGTGTTTTTTTTTTTTTGTTGTTTGTTTGGCTTTTTAAAATAACTACTGCTAGCATGCTTCTGGAATTAATAGAGAAAACATATACTGTCCCAACATCATTATTAATCTAAAAAATGCATAGAGGAACTCAAAAGCAAACATGACAATACATATATGTGGAATCAGTTTTGTTCTACCTAATGGTTATCTGGTTCTCACACTGACATTTAAAGGAACGGCCTGACGGCAATGATACTGATACTCCACTTAGCCCATGTTGCTCCACACAGACTCAGCCAGTGCCTTTCCCAAGCTGAGCTCCTTAGCTGAAGGCAAGGGCTGACAGGAATGGGCAGAGCAGTACTTGCAGTGATGGGACCTTGATGGGCAGGGGCTGTTTCAGAGGTGGGGTGTGGGCTGAAGGCTAACCATGCTCTTGCTGAGCTTGCCCCAGTCCTTGTTGCCTTAGCTGAGCCAAAGAACAGCTGAGGTGCTCCTCTTGCAAACTGAAGTGCAATCAGGTGATGACAGGTGCTCAGCTGAAGAACGTAACTGCTGGTTTTGTGATGCCCTTTCCATTGTGTGTCCTCAAAGCAAATGCAGACTGTGGTGCTGGCTGAGTGGCTGTTGGTATCGGTGAAAAGTGGAGCCTCTATGGCTTTTTGAGGGGGCTTTGGGGTGAGCAGAGCCTCTACTAATATTTAAGAGACTGGTAAACAAAACAATCCTTTTATTTCTAAATCTTCTGGTTTGTGTGTGTAACATGCTGCCCATATGATGTGAAAACCAGTTTACTCAGTGTTTGGTAGTTTCTTGCTGTTGCTCCACAATTTCTGAGCTAGGACAAGTGCTGGCAACAGAATTTTGTTTTCACTTGCATAATTGTAGG